CACACCCCCTGACATCATCAGAAGTGTGTCATAAGGCCACACACCCCACCCCCAACGGTCCCGGCCGCCGCCACCGGCCTTGCAGCTCCACTGCCGAGCCCAATGAGGGGCCCGGCGGTGGATCTGCAAGGCCGGCGGGAGTGCAAGGAAGCCCCGCAAAGGCCCTCCCTGGCCCCAGGAAGGCAGGGGTGGGGAGAGGCAGGGAGGAAGCAACTTACCCTCCCTCTTCTCCTGGCTGAATGAGGGCCGGAAGCAGGGGGCGGGGCTTCGTCATGTGCCCCGCCTCCCCGTACCTCACCCGGGGGAACTGCGATCCCCCGCGATCCCCCCGAAATGACCTCTGGGTACAACCGTTGGAGTAACAGTCTTTCAGTCATGTTTAAGATCTTCCCCACCCCCTTTGTTGTTTTTATCTCTCTGAGAAAAATCATTTATTACATTTTTGTAGTTGTGTTGTGCTCATCTTTTCACATGCTGCTCATTTCATGCCTTAACATTTTGAAAATAAATGAACTTGCCCTATTCAAAAGTCTTGACCCATGTGAGGTAATATTAAGGGAGACTGCCTCTGAGCATTTGCAGAGCACTTTCCCTTGTTCTTTGAGTGACCACAATAAGCCTCCACAGATTCAGGGTTTTGAGGAAAGACGTAACATCAAGGCAGGCTTGAGCCCCAGAAGTTAAGAGCGCTTCAACAGTCCAGTTTGTTCCCATGGAAAGATTCCTTTCAGTCCCTGCATCTTCTCCTGGTAAACTCTGTTGAAGTACTCAGACTGTACCACAGTGAAATGATTCTTCCAGTCCCCACAGACACCTAGAAAATGAGGAAGAAGCAGAAATGCAGCTTGCCAAACCCAGAGAGATCTAGGGCCACAGAATCTCTCGGGGGGAACTCCAAGTGGGTTCTGTGTGCAATGTTCCCTCTAAGCCGTGAAGTCTTGTGAGCAAAAATTCCACTTTGTGAGCTACTGGCATTAAAGTTGTGAGCCAGCGATTTGGCCGCTGCACAAATTAGTTTGCTCTGGAGCCCTCCTTCCTGAGCGAAGACAAAAATGTGTGAGCCGGAGGCTAAAAACCTGTGAGTAGCTCACAACAGCTCAGCTTAGAGGGAACACTGGTTCTGTGCGTGTTCGATTCCCCCACCTCACCACTTTTTTGTTAGCTTCTCAAGAGCAGGACTGTGCAAGTCAGCTCATTTAAGAAAATGACCTTTTCGAAACCTGAGCTCCCAGAACTGAGTATCACACTCCAGAGCAGAAAGAAAGGACGCCAAGTACACGTCTGAACTCAAAATGGGAGAGCTGGAAGCTCAGGACACTTCCCTCACCCTTTGCCAAGGCAGACAGGGCCATCTGAATTTGCTACACTGTGTTGTTTCTCTCTCTCTCATTATGTCCAGCCATATGCATCTGGGACCGATACTGCATTGCCCTCTCCCCCTTCTTGGGGCATTTAAGTCCCCCCCAATTACACTACTAGGATTGCACCAATCAATACTAGTTGACCGGCATGCAATATAGTTGGATGGGTTAAAGCAAGTCAGATCATTGCTGCCTCAAGTTCAGTTCTGTCTTCTCAGACCAGCAGCAGATCTCCAGGATCTGAAGCAGAGAAATGTCTTTCTCCAACATCTGCTCCCTAGGATCCCTTAACTAGAAATACCAAGGACTGAACCGGAGACCTTCTGTAGGTAAAGCAGGCATTCTACCACCGGGCTACAGCTGCTCTTTAGCTATTCACATAAAGCGGCTTAGGCTACTGGCCTTAACACTCATGTTTTCTGGTGAAGCACCCCTGCTTTCCTTGATGTGGAAGCATTTGGCCAGGTCGCCACCCCACCCCACCCAGACTCCTACTACACCTCCACCCCTTCTGGCTTGTACGAAGCCTTCCAGTGTAGCTGCACTGATGTATTAGCATTTCTGCAAATTCCTCCATTTTGCAAATTGTGTTGCTTCATCGGTGCCGTGGTAGCACAGCTCTTGCACAAAACTGGTGCTGCCCCTTGATTCTGATCTTGTTCCCCATTCTGTCAAGTGATCCGTCTGCCACACTCAGGCTACAAGAGAGCCAGTTTGGTTTAGTGGTTAAGAGCAGTGCGCTCTAATCCGGAGAGCCGTGTTTGATTCCTCACACCTTCACATGCAGCCAGCTGGGGGACCTTGGGTCAGTCACAGTTCTCTCAGAGCTGTTCTTTCAAAAGCAATTCTCAACAGAGCTCTCTCAGCCCCACCTACCTCACAGGGTGTCTGTAGTGGGGAGAGGAAGGGAAGGAGATTGTAAGCCACTCTGAGACTCTGAGTGAAGGGTGGGGTATAAATCCTCCTCCTTCCTTCTCCTTCCCCACTCACCGTCCTCCAGGTCTTGGCTGCAGAAAACCCACCCAAAGACGGCCCCAGCACCATTGCCTCTCACCCTTCCTCAGGAAGGTCCCTTTCCCTTGGTCCATGAGCTCCTTGGGCAGCATCGTAGAGTTGCACATCCTATTCCTCTGCATGGCTTCGAAGGAGGTGTTCTCCACCACCGAGGTGATGGCTGCATCGTCCAGCTCCTTCCCTAGGAAATGGCAGAGGCGTTCCACGCTGACCCGCAGGTTCTGAGGAGACACAAAGCCGGAAGGGACCACTGTTCAGACTGCAGAATATTGAGATCCGTGTGTTTTGAAGTCTATCTTCACAGGACTAGGAAAGGGAGGTGTTGTTTTAAAATGAAATCTGAGTTTCTTGGAATGGTGAATTGTGCAGTAGGTACCTAAATTCTGCAGAGTGTGATTGCATGGAGTCACAGAACACCCAGACGGGTTTCTAATTACTGTAGCTGGGAATCCCTATATCTAAATTCTTTCTTCTGTTGTCTTGCCTTGGACTAAAAAACCCCCAAAGTGATCCCCAAGCCAAAAGATTGAACATCTGGAAGCCAGTTTGGTGTAGTGGTTAAGTGCGCGGACTCTAATCTGGGAGAACCGGGTTTGATTCCCCACTCCTCCACTTGCACCTGCTGATGTGACCTTGGGTCAGTCGCAAGCTCTAGCACAGCTGTCCTTGAAAAAGAGCAGTTTGTGTCAGAGCTCTCTCAGCCCCACCCACCTCACAGGGTGTCTGTTGTGGGGAGGGGGAGGGAAAGGAATTTGTAAGCCGCTCTGAGACTCCTCTGGGTAGTGAAAGGTGGGGTATAAATCCAATCTCTTCTTCTTCTTCTTCTATATCTATCATGTTAAAAATACCAGCTAGAGATGCTTTCAGCTCCAGGGCCCCAAATACAAGGGAGGTCTCTCTGAGCCAAGACTCCATCTACTGTTGGCTCTGGCTCTTGTTGACTGCCCTGCCTTCCACTCCACCAGTCAGATAATAACGGGAAAGAAAAACAGGCTATGGCCATATCCTGGCAGAGGAGAAAGAAACCTCTGCCCCCTTACTGTCTAGCCAGCTTGGTGTAGTGGTTAAGAATGGCAGACTCTAATCTTAAGAGCCAGGTTTGATTTCCCACTCCTCCTCCACAGGAAGCCAGCTGGGTGACCTTGGGTCAGTCACAGTTCTCTCAGAGCTCTCTCAGCCCCGCCTACCTCACAGGGTGTCTGCTGTGGGGAGAGGAAGGGAAGGAGATTGTAAGCCGCTCCAAGACTCTTTTGGGTAGTCCAGGGTTTCAGTATAAAAACCAAGTCGTCGTCTTCTTCGCCTTTTCAGATGCTCTTCTTCATTTCAGTGAAATATTTAATTTATTTGAACACGTGAAGGTGCCTCTTTTCTACTGAACCAAACCATTGCTTTATCTAGGCCTGCATTCTCTGCTCTGACAACAGCTCTTAATTGCCTGCATTCTCTGCTCTGACAACAGCTCTCCAGGGTTTCAGGCAGAGGTCTACTGGTTGAAGACTCCTGGTCCACCTTCGGGTTGCCAGGTCCTCCCCGGTCACCAATGGGGGGGCGGGGGTAGTAGGGTTGCCAGCTCCAGGTTTGGGAAACAGGGGGGGAGTATGGCTGCCAGCTCGAGGTTTGGGAATCTCCTGGAGGTTTGGGGAGGCCGGGGACCTCAGTGGGGTACAATGCGATAGAGTCCACCCTCCAAAATGTCCATTTTCTCCAAGAAAACTGATATCTGTGGTCTGGAGATGGGGACTGCAGATCCCAACCAGAGGCTGGCACCCCTAAGCCCACCTTGTCCTTCCAATGAAAGATCTTTGCATCGAAACCTAGATCTGCATAATGTGTCCTAGCTTTCCCCATGGGATGGGTATACCTTTACACTAGTTGGAGAAAGAAGAAGAAGAAGAAGAGATTGGATTTATACCCCACCCTTCACTTGGAGTCTCAGAGCAGCTTACAAACTCCTTTCCCTTCCCCTCCCCACAACAGACACCCTGTGAGGTGGGTGGGGCTGAGAGAGCTCTGACACAAACTGCTCTTTTTCAAGGACAGCTGTGCCAGAGCTTGTGACTGACCCAAGGTCACATCAGCAGGTGCAAGTGGAGGAGTGGGGAATCATACCCGGTTCTCCCAGATTAGAGTCCGCACACTTAACCACTACACCAAACTGGCTCTCAGAGTAGGGAAGGGGTGTCTGGCTCTGTGATCACCTGCTTCAGCTCCTCGTAGCTGATGAAGAAGATGTGGCATCTGCCTTCCAGCTCCATCCAGCCTCTGACGTGGTCAAACCAGGAGCCATGAGGCACTGCGTAATGGAACATATTCTAGGTTGTAATCATTCACCAGTTCATTCTGTCTTAGCAAAACCAGGTTCCAACCTTGAAGGGGTTGCTTTCAAGGATGTGGCATATTTGGCCAGGTGCAGCTGCTCATGTCCTGCTGGGTCGGGCAAAATTCTCTCTTCTACACAGCTCAGAGGCAGGCCTCTCTGAGTAGTTTGAACCTGGCAGCACTCTTTGCATATTACTGGGAGGGAGGGTACAGTTGGGTGGAGAAGACGGTTGTTCTGGGTGCTGAACGGCCCATTGTTGATCACCCACAGTCACTTAGCTGCCTGAAACATCCTTGCTTCAGATGGAGACATTATACCTCAGTCTAGCCAGGAGAAGTGGAACTTGACTTGGGTTGAGTGGAGACACACGACTGTCATAGCAGCTCCTGTTGTTTTTAAATTTCAGAGCAGCTACCTGAGGCAGGGTGGGTGCAGGTGCTGAATTTGAGCACAGTGCGCGTGTGTGTGTGGGGTGTTAGCTGTTTCCCCTTATGCCATTTCCCCCATCTAAATATACTGAGTGAACTAACTAATTGAAGGTGCTGCAAACTCCATTGTGGAGAGAGAAAAGTAGGCGCTTCGATGATGCCGTTTTGCTGGTCAAATTAGGAGCATCCTGAAAATGCTTTGAAGTACAAAAGGAAGTACTTCTTCACCGAAAGAGTGATTAACACATGGAATTCACTGCCACAGGAGGTGGTGGCAGCTACAAGCATGGGCGGCTTCAAGAGGGATTTGGATAAGCATATGGAGCAGAGGTCCATCAGTGGCTATTAGCCACAAGGTATAGATAGGAACTCTCGGTCTGGGGCAAGTGATGCTCTGTATTCTTGGTGCTTGGAGGGGGGGCAACAGTGGGAGGGCTTCTAGTGTCCTGGCCCCACTGCTGGACCTCCTGAGGGCATCTGGTATTTTTGGCCACTGTATGACAGTGCTGGACTAGAGGGGCCATTGGCCTGATCTAACATTGGCTTCTCTTATGTTCTTAAGACCATTGCAGGTGTCTAATGACAGTTCTCCCAAGTTTGGCCTTCAAATGGTCTTAACTGTATTGGTCCCTTTAGGTCTCAACCTTCAGGGGTTCACAAGCAGAGTTGGGGGGGATTTATCTCCATTGTTTGGTGCAGGCATCTGATAATCTCAGTGCCACTGAGCAGAGAGTTCCATATTTTTGCTTCCATGTCTGAAAACTCTTGATAGAAAACTCCCTTTGTGCATTGGTCTCAGCCACCCGAGGGCAGGAGGACAACACTGATACAGATAGCTGAAAAAAGCAGCTATAGGGGGGCTCTCAATGTGGGGAACTGAGGCTGGTGAGGAAGGAGGTGCTAACTTTCCTCCCCCTGCTCCAAGCAATTTCCCTCTTTAGAAATCCCCACCACACAACTTTTTCCCTCTCTGGGAAATTTTTTATTGGGGGAATGACCCAAAGGGAAGAGTTAAACCCTCCTTCTTCAGCACAATGGCCCTGATCCAGACTGCGTCCCTCAACTGTGTGGTCACTTTCCACATCTGGGGTTCCAGTCACAGGTATCAGCTTCATGGGCAAGTTTAGCCCTAGGCTAATGGAGCATCACTGAATCTCATTATAATGAACTGGGTCAACGAATTGGTTTCTGACTGAGATAGAAGTTCTTCTTCAACTCACCATCCCCATTCAGGAAACCCTCCAGGAACTGGTTGAAGGATTTGGGATCCTCATAGGTGGTGCACATCTTGGTGAAGTAATAGTAGGAGACCACAATGTCTCGGGGGTCCCGTGACGTGTACACCACCTGTGGAAAGGGCACTAGAGTTCATCTATCAGGAAAAGTTATCAGAAGAAGAGCACAGGGTTGGATCCACCCCACTTCTTTGCTCAGTCTCCCCTAATTCCCTTCCGTAAACCAGCCCAGAACTCACATGGCTTTTGTACGCGTGAGTCCCATGATTCTCAGTGTAGCCTTTTTGGGTGCCTCCTTACTTTTTCATTAACAGAAAAGTAGGTTAGATCCAACCCATTTTCCTTAGGGGCAAATAAGATGGCCAACCAAACAGGGGGAAATATCCTGTCCCCTTAACAGAGGTTTAACTAGTGGAAATGAGCAACAGAAGCTTTTAAAGGCATGAAGTAGGGCTGCCAAGTGGGCCCGGGGGGCGGGAAAACCCCCGCTTTGGAGGCCCGATTTCCGCTGCGGCGAGGTGGGGGGGGTGGCCCAGATCGTCGGGGGGGAAACCATATGTTCCCCCCCCCAACGATCTGGGCCACAACCCCAACGTGAGCAACGTAACACGTCACTTCCTGTGATGTGCTGGTGGCGCGCGCGCGCCGACGAGGAGCTCCCGGAGCCCAGCGAGGTTCCCCCACCAGGCAAGGTAAGACCACTTGGCAACCCTAGCATGAAGTGAAATAACATCACCTTATAATGACTTACAGATCAAACTGACATTAAAGGGACAGAGAGACCAGTTTAAATATTGGCAACCTTAGACCATAGAGCAGTGTAATCATCCATCCTAGGCCGATCTTGTCAGAGCTAGGAAACTAAGCAGGGCTGGCCATGGTTAGTACTTGGATGGGAGACCCCCAAGGAAGACTGGGGTTGTTATGCAGAGGAAGGTAATGGCAAAACCAGCTCTTTTCATCTCTTGACTTAGAAAACCCCATGGTTCTGGGGTTGCCATGAGTTGGTTGTGACTTGATGGCACACAATGAAATGGCCCAGGCTAACCCGATCTCAGCAGATCTCAGAAACTAAGCAGGGTCAGCCTGGTTAATACTTGGATGGGAGACCTCAAAGGAATTTCAGGATTGCTAAGCAGAGGTGGGGAATGGCAAAACACCTCTGTTCATCTCTTTCCTTGAAAACCCTACAGGATCAACGTTAAGTCAGCTGCAACTTGATGGCACTTTTCACCAGACCCAAAATCTGCATGGAATCAACATGCCATGCATACTGTGAAATTCGGTACTGCCCATGTTCCAAGACTCAGGCCTAGGGTTGCCAGCCTCTAGGTGGGGCCTGGGAATCTCCTGCTATTACAACGGATCTCCAGCGGACAGAGATAAACTCCCCTGGAGAAAATGGCTGCTTTGAAGGGTAGACTCTATGGCATTGTACTATGCTGAGGCCACTCCCCTCCCCAAACCCCACCCTCTCCTGACTTCATCCCCAAAGTCTCCAGGTATTTTCCAACCCAGACCTGGTAACCCTACTCAGGCCCTGTTGTAAAGAATAGCTTCCAGGGTTCAGGTCAGTGGTGAAGTCATGGTCAGGTACAGAGACCTGGTGTAAAGTTTAGGGGTAGTATGGCAGTAGCACCATGAATGAGAAACGTCAAGTTTCCTAAAATGGTAAGTCAGAGGCCTGTGTGACTTTGTTAGAGTGTCGGACTGGGACTGCCATTGAATCCCCATTAGCTGTGAAGCTCATAGGTTGACCCCACTGGTCACTCTCCTTTGGCCTGAACTACTTGCAGGGTTTTTGTGAGTTTATAGCAAAGAAGAACTACGTATGCTGCCCTGAGCACCTTGGAGGAAGACCAGAATAAAAATGTGACAGATTTTCTTCTGATTTAGAGACCATAACTATCACTATATAATATTTGAGTTCAATTACCTGTTTTTGTAAAGAAAGGTATATAGCCAAAGATGGAAGGGGAAAAGGCTGAGTGGGTTTGTGAAAGGGAGAAGCAACTGAGACAAGTAATACCTGCAAAAGAGGGTTTTTCCTCTCTTAACTACACTGCTGGATTAAATGAAGTCTGCAACACTATTCAAACTTAACCAGAAGTAAGCCTCATTGAACAAAGTGAAACTTCCCTCTGTATAAACATACATAAGATTGCACCATCAGCCCTTATATTTATTCTTTAAAACAGGGCTTTTTTTGTAGAAAAAGCCCAGCAGGAACTCATTAGCAAAGTAGGCCACACCCAACAACAGAAACTCATTAGCATATTAGACCACACCCCTATGTTACCAGAAGTATAGTCATCCAGCCACACCCACCTTTTGCTTCTTATTCTGTTTACCTTGTTTGTTGTCAAAACCCAGGGCTTTTTTGTAGCAGGAACTCCTTTGCATGTTAGGCCACACCCCCAATGTAGCCAATCTTAATGCGTTTCTGCTATTGGGTGTGGCCTATTATGCTAATGAGTTCCTGCTGGGCATGGTCAACTTGGGAGCCAGCCGGAACGCCGTTCCTGTGTGTTCCTGCCCAAAAATAGCCCTGCTTTAAAAATAGGTGGTTGGATCCATCCAGTTTTTCTGCTGCTGAAAAAGAGAGGCAGGATCCCTACTGATGTCCCCAGAATGCTACGTTGGGGATCTTGGGACCAGCCGTGTTGGACATGGGCTGTATTAAGGAGAAGAATCAGGTGATACTGAGTGAAAAAGCTAGCTGGATCCAACCCAGTGAGATAAAGGTCCTTCTCTTTGTGTGTAAGCAGCCACCATTACAAGACCTAGACTTCAGACCCCAGCATGGTCAGCAGCACCCACCTTGGCCTTGGAGGAGAAGAAAGCTTTGGGGAAGATCTGAATGGGGAGATGGCAGGTGAGCAGGCGTGGAGATGGGCAATTATGTGCTGTCTCCAGGCCCAGCCGTGTGCTGAACCAAGGAGCACGGAGAGAGTTGAGAACACTTTGATTCCAGGTTGGGTCTCCTCTGCTGAGAATGAGGCTGAGGATCTCAGTCATCCACACTGTTCCTTGAAGGAAGGAGAGAGGAAATCTCACGCTGAAGCGAAATGTTATTGAACACTCAAAACCAAACAATGACTCTTGACTTTTTAAAATTTGGAGTATTCCCAAATTCCATTATTGAAATTTGGGGATTTGAGGATACCTCAATTCCAAGTTAGTGATCTGAAAATTGCATCAACATTGTCGGAAAGAGGGTGAGGGATCTTCAACAAAGGACTTTTCCGTGTGTTGTTTTGTTAGCTGTCACCCCATACTGCTTCAGTTGAGCCCCTGATTTCCGCATGTATTTTTGCACCTTTAATTTTTACCTGGTGGCGTGGTGGTGGTATTTCCCCTTTTTTTCCTGATTCTTTTGAAACCACTTTTACCCCAATCTTTTTCTGGAAGCCAGTTTTCAGTTGCCTTTTCCCTCATGTGCAATGCTTCTTTTGGTTGGTTTTCTTAGTCCCGCCTACTTTCAGCCCACTTTTTGATGACTGGACTGTCATGGTTTAGCCATACCGTTTCCTCCGCCCCACCCTGAAGATGAGTGGTTTCATTTTCTTTTTTAAAAAATGCCTCAAAAATATCAATGTATCACTAGAACTTTGTGACAACAGGTTCTCTGAATTCCCAGCTTTCATTTAAAAAAAAAAAAGTCTGTAGCTCTGTCCATCACGGAGGTACAAGGAAAATGGCATTTCTCTGTGAGGAGGAGCCTAGAGACTGACTTTTTAAAAAATGAAAGCTGAGAATTCAGAGAACCTGCTAAACATATTGTTACAAGACTCTAGTGATATATTGATATTTTAGAGGGCTTTTTAAAAAAAAAGGCATACTGTAATGCCACTCAGGGCTATTTTTGGGCAGGAACGCACAGGAACGGAGTTCCGGTTGGTTCCCACGTTGGCCACGCCCAGCAGGAACTCATTAGCATAATAGGCCACACCCAATGACAGAAACTCATTAGGATTGGCTACATCAGGGGTGTGTGGCCTAACATGCAAAGAAGTTCCTGCTACAAAAAAAGCCCTGCGTTTTGACAATAAACAAAGTAAGTAGAATAAGAAGCAAAAGGTGGGTCTGGCTGTATGACCACACTTCTGGTAACATGGGGTGTGGCCTAATATGCTAATGTGATGTACTATCAGTGTGTGGCCTAATATGCTAATGGGTTTCTGCTGTTGGGTGTGGCCTATTATGCTAATGAGTTCCTGCTGGGCTTTTTCTACAAAAAGAACCCTGATGCCACTAATGACAACAGCACCCTCTCTTGAAAATTCTCGTGGTCAGCCGTGTTGGTCTGAAGCACCAGAACAAATTTAGAGTCCGGTGGCACCTTTAAGACCAACAAAGTTTTATTCAAGCTATGAGCTTTAGTGTGCATGCACACGTTTTCAAATCCTCATTATTGAAGGTAAGCGCGGAAGAAACTAAATGGGCTCTACAACTGTGAAAATGCAGAGGGAAGGCAGATGTGCAGCACAACCATGCAGAAACAGATTGCAAAGTTTCTGCATCAACTCTCAAGAAAATCAGGAGTAAGTCAAGTGTGTGGAAAAGCCCACAACAATGGAAGAGTATTACAATATTGTGCCTAGGACAGATCTGACAAGCTTGTGGAGCAGTTTTCAAGATATTAGGAAGGGATCCAAATGCTGTAAACATTCCCACACAAATAGAATGCCTGTCATTTAAAGGATTTAAAGGATTTTTCACCCCTCTAAATCATACCAGACTTAGGATAAGTGACGTTGAAAATATCATCATCCCGCACTTCAAATTTGTTCTCAGCGAAGCAAAGACTCTCCACAGAGTTATATCCAGGGGGGAACTTCACCCCCTTGTATTGGATGTACTGGACAGTCATCTCCTGTAAAGCAAAGCATAAGAACATAAGAGAAGCCAATGTTGGATCAGGCCAATGGCCCATCCAGTCCAAAAATACCAGGTGCCCTCAGGAGGTCCAGCAGTGAGGCCAGGACACTAGAAGCCCTCCCACTGTTGCCCCCCCCCAAGCACCAAGAATATAGTGCATCACTTGCTCGAGACTAAGAGTTCCTATCTATACCTTGTGGCTAATAGCCACTGATGGACCTCTGCTCCATATGTTTATCTAATTCCCTCTTGAAGCCGTCCATGCTTGTAGCCGCCACCACCTCCTGTGGGTACTCAGCACAGGGGCAAAGCAACAGTTGAAACTGTTATCACTCTTGAAGGCACTGTAATCTTGGAACTGGTAGCCTGAGGTAGCATGCACAGGTTACAAAGCCCATGTATCCCCTATGTGGACTGTCAACAGATGGGGTCTAGGAGTTTCATGCTGGGAATTTAATTCCATGTGTGAACAGACCCAATTCAGATCAGAATTGTGGTGTGTACATGTGCATTGGGGGGGGGGGATTCAGCCTGCCTTTGAGCTGCTTTCCTAACCTGAAATACCCCAGGGAGCTGTTATTTGCCCTGGGCTGTTTTCAGTCAGGGAAATGGCATGTGTAAGAGAGTCTGAAGTTTCCTCTCTCCACGCGCCATTGTTCTGACCCAGTTGGAATCTCTTTGTGCCTGGGAATTAAGTTCCGATCATGGAACTTCCAGATCAAATCTGTCTGAAAGACATGGGGCTTTGTAATGTGTGAATCAGCCCATATATAGCACCAGCTGCTTCTGGTTCTCTGACAAAAGACAGAACTGGAAAGAGACCAGCCACGGAAGCCTCTTAGCACCAATCAGCTGAGGCAAAGCAGCAGATACTCCCTGGCTCTATAAAAGCTTTTGGAGTGGGATTGCCCAATAGTCTGAGCATTTAGGAGACTTGATCCTGCTAAGTGACAGGTTGCCTTGATCCTGGGCCTTGTGCTGCCTCTGCCTTCAGTTCACCTTGAACAGGAGCTGAGTTACCCTGCAGCTCAATTACTAATTATAAAAGCAATTCATGGGATGGGAAAGACAATTAGGAGAGGCAGCCCTGAAGGGAAACATACTGGGTTCTTTCAGGCATCCAGGATGAAGCAGGACAAAGTGAGTGAGGTCCAGTTCCCATCAGGCAACGCTAGGGTTGCCAACCTTCAGGTAGGGGCTGGAGTTCTCCTGGGATTACAACGGACATCTCCAGGTGACAGAGATCAGTTTACCTGGAGAAAATGGCTGTCTTGGAAGGTGGACTCTATGGCATTGAAGTTCCTCCCCTCCCCGAACCCCAGCCTCCTCAGGCTTAACCCCCAAAAT